TAAGTTCGTTGTTGCGTATGTTCGTGTGTGTGTATGTGCGGCAGGGAGCAGCTGATAAACTAAACATATGTTTAGGTGAACGTCTGGACATCTATGTGTTAGTGTGTCTCTGTTTGCGGGAGGATTCGCTACGTGTAACAGGAGTCCGAAAGGAAACGTATGTGTAAGCTTGTAAATCCGTGTAAGTATTTCTATACGTACATGTGAGCATGTTTGTCATTCGGCATTTATGACATCCGTGTACGTGTATTTGTGTAAGCAAGTGTGTGTATGTGCGTGGCTATGTACGTAAAAGAGGGGAAAAGTGAATCTGTTTATCTGCATGTACGTGAATATTTCATCAATAAATCAGAAACTGGACGGACATTAATTTTCTCTGTCACCAGTTAATTAGCCAATCAGACAGACAATGGCGTTATTCATGGTTTGAAATCCAGGTATAAGTAGCTACTTGAACATTTTAATTACTGGAAACAGGAGATCTTTAGACGACATTCGGTATAATATTACAAAATATATCCATGTTGACAAATGTAGAAAAGGTATGAATGAGACTGGATATCTCTTGTATTGTGAAGATATCCAGTCTCATTCATACCTTTTCTACATAATATTACAAGTTGATATTCATCATCCAAATGGTCAACAAATATTTATATCATAATGATTATATTTCAAATTATAGCAATGATAATAATGATAACATGATAATCAAAAGAACATTTATTGATAGTAATGATTTATATGTGTAAATATATATATATATATATATATAATATATATATATATATATATATATATATATATATATATATATATAATATATATATATATACATACATATATATATATATATATATATATATATATATATATATAATATATATAATAATTATATATATATAGAGAGAGAGAGAGAGAGAGATAATGAGAGGGAGGGAGAGAGAGAGAGAGAAGTTAATGAGAGAGAGAGGGAGGGAGGAGAGAGGCAGAGGCAGACACAGACAGACAGGCAGACAGAGACAGAAACAGAGAGAGGAAAGAAAGAAAAGAAGCAACGAAAAATAGATAGATAGCAACAATAAATAAATCGAAATCTGTCCATAACGTTTAGAGTTATATAGCGGCGAAAGTGTCTGGGAAAAATGTTATAAAAATCTGTTCATAAACTTTTTGAGTTATTCTGTTAACCAACTAACCAACAAACTAATCGAAGCTTCCAAAAACATAACCTCATTGGCGAAGTTAATAATGGTCATAACAATAATACTCATGATGACAATAATAACAATAGTAATTATAATGATTATAGCAATAATAATTATAGTAATAATGATAATGATGATAACAATAATAGTAATGATTTAGGTAATAATTGATGATAATAAGGATGCCAGTACTACTAATGAAACTAATATTAATGATAAGATTTAAAATGATGATTATAATAATAATCAAAGTATTAACAGTTATAGTAATAATGACGATAAATGTAATTTAAACTAATAATGAAAATAATGAAATAATAATAATAATAATAATAATATAATAAAAATAATAGATGATAAAAAGAATGATATTAGAAATAGTTACAAACCTCCTCTTAATGAAAATAAATAGAGTAATAATAATGTTGATAATAAAAGTAATGCTAATTAAGTAACAATGATAACAATAATGTTAATGGTTATCATTATCGTTATCATCCTGAAAAAAAAACGAAACAGTAGTAATAATAAATAATAAGGATGACGACGGTGATAATAATGGTGATAGAAATCCTAATCCTAACCATCATCTTAGTGATGATAATAATGATAAAGATACAAACAATGAAAATA